ATCAACCATCATTAGCCATCATTAACCATTATTAGCCATCATTAACCATTATTTACCATCCTTAACCATTATTTACCATCATTAACCCTTATTAACCATCATTAACCATTATTAACCATTATTTACCATCATTAACCCTTATTATTACCATCATTAACCATTATTAACCATTAACCATCATTAACCATTATTAACATATTAACATTAACCATTATTAACCATTATTTACCATCATTAACCCTTATTAACCATCATTAACCATTATTAACCATTATTAACCATCATTAACCATTATCAACCATCATTAGCCATCATTAACCATTATTAGCCATCATTAACCATTATTAACCATTATTAACCATTATTAGCCATCATTAACCATTATTAACCCTTATTAACCATCATTAACCATTATTAACCATTATTTACCATCATTAACCCTTATTAACCATCATTAACCATTATTAACAATTATTTACCATCATTAACCCTTATTAACCATTATTAACCATTATTTACCATCATTAACCCTTATTAACCATCATTAACCATTGTTTACCATCATTAACCATTATTCCATGGTTCCAGTCAGCACCAGTTGGGGAATTCCCAGCGCCCCGTGATTCCCAGGGGCTCGAGCCCCGCCTTGCACAGCACGGCACGTGCCAAGCCTTCAGCATAGGCCAGGCGGGGGCCCGGCGCTTCGATGGCCTGGTGACAGCGAAAAATGGCTGGCTGGGAAATCATCGAACTAAATAGGCTATCAATATCTATCAATATTATTTAATGGTGATTCAATGAGACTTCATAGGGATTTAATGGGAATTAATGGGATTTAATGGGATTTGTGAGGATATATGATGGTATACCCACTGGTAAACATACAAAAGGCTATTGAACATGGCCATTTATAGTGGATTTACCCATTGAAAATGGTGATTTTCCATAGTTATGTAAACGTTTACCAGAGGGTAAATAGAGGAGTTAATAAGAAAATCAACTGTTCATGGAGGATATTCATGGGATGACTCAATGATATCAAATGATTATGCGATATATAGCAATTATACGGATATTATAAGGGCCCTGAAATTAGTTACCCTCGGGTAAACTAACATAGATGTGGAAAATCAATGAAAATCAACTATTTTATTTTTAATGGGTAATTCATAATCCATATGTTTTTCTCCTTAAGAAAGCATCATTCGAGGAACCGAATTTCCTGTCTCTGTACAAAAGAAACGAACAAACTGAAGTAGAGGGTTCGCCACGTACAACAAATCGACAAAAGACAAAGGGGTTTGGATTTCGGGACTACGCCATAGGCAAGTATGGCCCTGCTTCCGCTCGCTGGATGCGATAAAGGAGCGCTTCATCGGAAAGCACCTGCCCGTTGGAAAAGATCAGCACAGCCCGTGACTCTGGAGCCTGGAAAAACGAGTTTCCGTGCCCCTGATGGGCCCTCATCCGACAGCTGCCACAACGGAACCCTCCAGGGAAACTCCCCACCCTTTAGCAAAGGATTGATCAACGAGACCTCCAAAACCGGTGAGAAAACACAGTTCTGTGATTTTTTATATTCCATGGATTTCCATGGGGTATAGCTGAAACTATGCAACAAGGGAGGTATACCACAGCATCATCTCCATCGAAACGAGGTGAGGTCTAGCACCGAGATCGTCCGCTGGCTCGAATCGCAGATTGGCAAATCTTCCACTCCACCCAATGGCAGTTGTTTTCACACTGGCAGAAAAAAAACCTGAGCTGTTAGTTCTATAAACGGGCCATGTTCCACATCTACGTTAGTTTAGCCCAGGGTGACTGGATGTAACTGCCTTCAAAATGGGGTGACTTTACCAGGAGTGATCATTCTCTCCGGCAGGATGGAAAGAGGAAACACAAATTCAAATCTCCAGATGCTCTTAGTTGCAGATCATCTACGCCTCCGGTAATCAAACATAATTGCCATAGCAATGTAAAATCCACCGACTCTATTCAGACTTTATAGATGATGTTCCCACCAAAGCCTCCATTTATATATGATGTATTTTCCCAGGTTTTTCTTCTGATTTTCACCTGATTTTCCCGAAAAATCGCCGTGTTTGATGGCACCCGTTTTTGCCAGGTCGGATCAGTACCAAACCTTCCATCTCAGTGAAATTCCTGAGAAGCGTAGTGATCAGGAATTCGTCTAACCTTGGTAAATCATCAATCGTCCCCAACCATATCATGGTCGATCTTTGATAGTCCACAACAAATTCTCATCTACAAAGCTGGTTCTGGTTCGTTTCCGCAGCAAAAAACAAAAGGATTAGTTTTTTTAAACATTATTTAAGGTTGGGGATGATATCCCAAATAAATCTATCATCGATTATCATCAATCCCTGTGAATTCAAATGACCTTATACTTTCAAAGTTCAATCAAGATTGACTCCTTGAACAGGCATTTTCTCGAAAACAGCTGAGTGACCCAAGGATTTTTCCAATAAATCTTTTGCCA